ATCCATCATCTCCTTCCTTCCTTCCAAGCCGCCACAAAGTCGCAGCTGCCAAGGGCAACCCCTGGCTGGTGACCCAGAGGCCCTCGGCACATGCTTAGAGGCCCTCTTTTCACCCTTCGTCCCTCTTTTCATCCACGCCGCCGTGCAATTCTGAGCCGGGGCTTCTCGGGCGCAGCTTGCCGGCGTGTTTCCACCGGAGCCTCGTGGCAGCCCATACGGCCAAGCAGATGGTCCCACCTGCTTCTTCTCCGGCACATGTTTTGGGAAGCGGACGGTTAAACAGCAGCCTTTTTCCCTCCCTGGCGGCAGCGGCTGCATTCAAAGCAGAATTAATTGGGTGCAGACAGCTCGGCTTTCGGCCAATCCACCCGTAATCCTCTTCCCACTGTCACCGACAAGCAGCCTTTCTGGGGGAGACAGCTCGGCTTTTGGCCAATCCACCCGTAATCCTCTTCCCACTGTCACCAACAAGCAGCCTTTCTGGGGAGGGGGTGGTGGTGGCTGAGAAGGAAGAGCCACAAGCCCCATCTGTATTTCTAACAATCCTTCCAGTGGTTTCCTTTTCAGCTTTCATTTTTCCCCCCTGCAAAAAAAAAAACACACACCAAAAAACCCTACCCACTTCCCTGATCCACCTAATCAGGGATGTTTCTGGGCAGACCCTGAAGCAGAAAAAAAAAACATCATCAGCTCATATCCCACGGAGCTGGTTCGAATGGCCTATGAAAGCTAATAAGCAACTACACCGAAGGATTTATTCTTTGGACACTAAAGAATAATAATTGCAGTGCCCCTCACTCCATAAAATCAAACGCCTTACACTTCGCAGCAACAACGCCAGCGGAGGTAGGTTTTATTTTATTATTATTATTTTTAATTTATTTTATTTATATCCCGCCTATCTAGTCAATTAAGACCACTCTAGGTGGCTTACAACAAAAAATATAACAATGTAATTAAAAACAATTTTATATCAGGGAAAAACGTAGGACAGACACCAGGAAGAGGAAAGAGAGGAAAGTCGGGAGTTAGGGATTGACTGAGGGGAAGGCTCAGTGTTTTTAGTTGATTTTTAAAAACCGAGGTTCCCTCGGAAGGGAGTCCTACTGTGTTCCATGAGCCTTACTCTCGGGTAAAAGAACACGAGACGGCATTGTACAGGTAGTGTCACCCTAGGCTGTGTGAGCCTTACTCTCGGGTAAAAGAACACGAAATGGCATTGTACAGGTAGCGTCACCCTAGGCTGTGGGTGAGGGTGGGCAATTTTTTGGGGCAATCTGGATACTACCGAACTACACGTCCCATCGGCCCCAGACAACAAGAGTGGGGGGTGATGGGTGTTGTAGTCCACCACCACCACCCCAGAGAGCCACACGTCTCCCATCTCTGGCCTATACAAACAGAGGTTGCCAGAGTCAGCCAGAGGGCTTGGTTGTTTAAAGGGTTGGTTCAGGGTTCGGAAAAACCTACCTCGCCGGGTCGTTGTGAGGCTTGACGTGGGCAAACAGAGGGAAGCCGTATACACCACTTGTGTGTGTGTGTGTGTGTGTGTTCACAATAGCAGGAAAAAGGAGGGGGGCAGAGACACTCCAAACTCTTAAACAAAACACACTGTGTATAAATAATATAAATTCTCTCAAAGGGGAAAGGCTGCACCCCTTTTGTTGCAAGATTTACGAATTCTGTTGGCACTCCCCCCCCAAAAAAGCAAAGACTGAAGCAATTCAAGGTTGCTGTTTTTTTTCAAAGGCCTCCATATGGAGATTTATTACACAGTCTTGGAGTGTTGCCCGGTACGTGTGCATCCAGAGGAGGGAGACAGGGTATGATCGCCAGTTCCACTTAACTCACATCAGTCTATTCCCATCCTGGCCCTTATGCTTCCTCTCAGTTTTTGTTTTTTTTAAGAGAAGCTTTACTGCTCCTAGGCTTTCTCCATCCTCCCTTCTAGCTTGGCATTCACATCTCTACAAGTTGTCTAAAGGAGGAGGGGGACCCACACCCCCCAAACCAATTTGTTCATATTCTGGTTGAAAAGGACCTGAGTGTTAACGAATCCTTTGGAACAGCAAGAGAGAAAAAACAGGACAAATTTCCCCTCCCTTTCTAGCCATACCCAATGTCATGGGGGCGCCAAGTCCATTCCAGATATTAGCCCACCCCCAAGCTGCCCATCCTCAACCCCCTATAGGTTCAGAACCTTGGAGAGCGGCTTCCAAGCCTGAATGAAAACCTGGAGCGGATTCTCTTCCGCCGCCACCGAACCGGGAGTCAGCAGCTTCAGAGCACGCAGTTCAATCTCGGGTTTCGAGATGTGTGTGGTCTTCGTTCTGCAACGTTTGACCTAAAATCCCTCCACACGTTTTTCTTTTTGTCTTTATCGTCTCATCCTGATCCTCACCATGTAGAGGGGGCCCCTCTCTCTCCCTCCCTCTCTGATCTCCACCCCCGCTTCTCACCCTCTGGATCTAAGAATAAATAAAAACCAAGTTTTCCCCCATCTACCAGCCTTCCCTGGCTCTTCCATCGGCCCTCCCCTGCTCTAGTTTTCCAAGGATCAATAAAGAGAGCTGGCAGCGGGAAGGGAGGGCAGGACATCCCCGGCGATGAATCATCATCCTCGTTACTCACACGAGAGCTTCTTTGGACTCTCTTGTAGGAAATGGGAAATTGATTTGTTTCAAAAAGGGAGGGGAGAAACAGAGAAATTAACTACCCAAGAACACATCACGATCTCTTTGATTTGTTGAATGTACGTTGGTTGCCCCAGTCAGAAGCAAAAATTAAATTATTTACCTATTCCCTATTTCCATCTTAAGGCAGCTTGTCTAGCACTGATGCCTTCCTCCAGATCACCTTTCTTTCTTTCTTTCTTTCTTTCTTTCTTTCTTTCTTTCTTTCTTTCTTTCTTTCTTTCTTCCTTCCTTCCTTCCTTCCTTCCTTCCTTCCTTCCTTCCTTCCTTCCTTCCTCCCTCCCTCCCTCCCTCCCTCCCTCCAGATCACCTTCCTCCAGATCCCCTTTCTTTCTTTCTTTCTTTCTTTCTTTCTTTCTTTTTCTTTCTTTCTTCCTTCCTTCCTTCCTTCCTTCCTTCCTTCCTCCCTCCCTCCCTCCAGATCACCTTCCTCCAGATTGGATTTTTAATAGTTTAATTTTTAAAATCATTTTTTAATAAAAATCACAATTTAAATCAATTGGATTTTTTTTAAATGTTGATTTTTTTTACCCACCCTGCTGATTTCTTCAATATGTACGGTTCCTCTACCCGTAGCAATCCACAATTTGAGCAAAGTGTAAAGGTTGTGTTTTATTTTTTGTGAAATAAAACACACACATACAGGAAGCACAGAAAGAATGGCTGGTTGGTTTAAAAGATGTAAGCAGGGGGGGGGGAATGGACTGAATCACAATGTTCAGGGCGATGTTTACATTGCCCTATCCTGATGAACATCTTGGCTGCTTAGGGGTAGACTGCTTCTACCTACAGAGGTTCTACTCCAAACAATTCATCCTTTACTTATTTATTTGATTTAAAATATTTTAGTCTGCCTTTGTCATTCAAAGCACCCAAGGCAGCTTCCAACAATTAAAGGACAATATTTAAAAAGCTGGAAACGGGAAGTATATGCAGACTCAGAAAGGAACGATACCAATATTATATTCAAAAGTGTCAATAAAATCAGTGCTAAAAACCTATTGGAAAAAGAACAATCCATTTTTAAAAACAACACTCTCAGACGTGTCTCGTAAGAGTCTAAAAAACCCGACGTGACTGAAGACAAGCTTTCCAGAGAAGCATCCTGCCTCCGCAATGGTCCAGCAGATGCTCGCAAACACAACAAGAGTCTAAGGCTTTATCCAGACCATCCTGGATTCCACTACAATGGATCAATAAGCCCAGGCCCGATCGCTCCGCTTTCACACACATGCGAGGAAGCCGGCAACTCTGATTTCCCAGGGGTTGGTGAATCCTCTCCGAGGTTTAATCTAGAATTTCAACTTTTAAAACACTTTTGAAGGCCCCTGTGTTCTGTCTCAAAACAGCCTTTATTGGGCGCCGGACCCGCTACCATCTAATGATGCCCTCTGCTTCTGCAATTTTCTTTTAAAATGCCCCCCTTCTTTGGAAACGGAAAGGGCCGAGCAACAGGCCGAGGTGCCGCGCTCAGAAAGAAACCCATATATAGCCCCCCACTCCCACCCCCCAGAAAAGGGCGCCGCGGCTGATGTCTAGCACGTGTTTTCCCACCGCAACGCCACCCTGCCTCCTTCGCCTCGCACACGCGTGAGACGAGGAGAACATCTTCTCGACCTTCACGCGCCGACGACGGCGTTTTGGAAACCTGCCATTCGCGGTGCGTCGAAATAAACCACAAACCTACGAACGCCGTTCGCTCGGGTGCTCTTTTGATGGACGCCAATTCCACGTCCGTCACTCGGGAAAAACTACATTCCCGCCTTCCAGGCGGCTTTATTCACAATTTGGGGTGGTGGGGTTCCCCCCCCCTTTGCTTCAAGACAGGTTCTAACACTTCCCGCCCCGGGTCTGTCAACACCTCGACAAGATCTTGAGAGAGAGAGAGAGAGAAAGAAATGGGCCTCCAGAGATGAAGCCACTGGTCTGGTCTAAAAAAAGGCCGTGGCTAAGCGGGAGAGGAAAATTACTGCGAGACTCGAGACTCTCAGAGAAGAAAGCAATTTAGATAATGAAAGCGATAGGAACCTGGGGGCTGCTGGCCAGGGAGGATGGGGGGGAAGAAAGCTGCTAAGCAGAAGCCAAAAGCTTTAACACGGGAAAAAAAACCCCATAAATAAATCCCCAAAGATGTACAGTGGTGCCTCGCTAGACAGTTAACCCCGCATGACAGTTTTTTCGCTAGACATTGAATTTTTTGCAATCGCTATCGCGATTCGCAAAACAGTGATTCCTACGGGGGGAATTTCACTGGACAATGTTTGGCCCCTGTTTCGCAAACCGATTTTCGCTAGACGACAGTTTGCTTTTCACTAGGCAGCAATTTCGCTAGGCAGCGATTTCAGTGGAACGGATTACCATCGTCTAGCGAGGCACCACTGTATAACTATTTTGATGGTTGTTATGTGCCATCAAGACGCCTCTAATTCACGGCGATCTGCAGAATGTCCAGCCCGCAAAAGCCCTGCTCAGCTCTTGTAGGTATAACTATTTTGATGGTTGTTATGTGCCTTCGATTCACGGCGATCTGCAAAATGCCCGGCCCGCAACAGCCCTGCTCAGCTCTTGTAAAACCCAAGCTTGTGGTTTCCTTTAGGGAGTCTATCCATCTCAACATTTTCCCGTCCTCTTTTCCTGCTGCTTTCGCAGCACGATGGTCTTTTCCAGAGAATCCTGCCTTTCTCGTGAGGTCTCCAAAGGAAGAGAGCATCTGTTCCAACATTTTTGCCTCCAGAAGAGAGGCCAGCCTTGATTTGATCTTCTCACAGACATCAGGAAACCCTGCTCTAATTTCAGGCGGCGCCAACCCAGGACCCACCCGCCCACCTCTCGCCGCTCGCGAGGCTTACCCGCTTGGTGAGTTGGGTGTCCATCATGAAGTTGTGGACGTGTTTCTCGGCTTTGGTGAGTTCTAGTTTTCTCGCTACCACAGCCACCACCAGGGCGGTGCAGCCGGCCCCCTGGCAAGGGAGAACAGATCAAAAAAATTAGCCACGGGAACGACAAAGGTCATCAAATCCTGAAAAATACACACATGCGCATAGCGAGAATAATCCCATGTGTTGAGTCGGCCATCCGTTTCTGATTAAGCTCTTCATTCCGACTCATGAGGACTAGGATCTTAGATGGATTTTGCTGAGAGAACAATAACTCAGATACAGAGTACTCCCATTGCATCGCCGACTTCAAGGTTGGGAAAAAGCCATTCTCTGGAACCCCATGGAGACATACCATCATCTGTAGGGCTACTGTAAACTACATAGGTCCAGGATAATTCGGGCGGTTTTTTAGTCGAAACCCAGTTTGTCTCCTGTTTTTATGCCCTGGGTCCTTCCCCCTCTGCAGTACAAGAGTTAAACAATCAAGGATGGCTGGATAGCTCAGTGATTTAGCTCGGCACCCAAGGTTAAGAGTTCAAATCCCTCCCGGGCCTCCTTGGCAGGGGCTGGCTCGAACAATCCATAGAGTCCTTTCCAGCTCCGCCGTTCTAAGATGATGACAGCGATGACGATTAAGCGGACGACTCCCCAAAGGCCACCACGGACAAAGAGAAAAGACAATCTCAAAAATGGTTGGTCGTTTTAAACAAATTTGGAAGAAAACATAAACGCATCAAGCAGCTGTCTGTGGCAAGAGGACCGTGAATTGAGATCGCTGTCCGTGGTGCTGAAACTCAGCGATCTAAGGTCTGCTATTAATACACAGCCTTTAAATTAAAAAATCCAGATTATCACCATCGTCCTTACTACTATTACATCGTCGGGCATGATGGCCACCGCTGCCAATCAAAATTATAAAAACATTGCTATTATAATCACAGATACAAGTTTTAACAACAAAAACAACACCAAGTATCTGTCAAATATCAGTGCAGTATGTATGCTGCTCCTAACATTGCTGCATTTTGTAGCTCTGACAGTGTTATTTCTGCAATCTGCAACTGTCGTCATCATCATCATCACTGAATTTGTTGCTACTGATATCACTGCAATCTGCAACTGTCGTCATCATCATCGTCGCCATCATCACTGAATTTGTGGCTTTTGATATCCAGTAATAAAATCATTAAGATGATATCATTCACTGATCAGGATAACCCTCTTAGAACGGCAGAGCTGGAAAGGACCTTTATGGATCCTCGAATCCTGCCCCTCTCAAGGAGACCCAGAGAGGATTCAAACTCCCAACCTAGGGGAGCCAGAGACCTTAACCCAATGATGATTTATATCCCCATTTTGCTTCAATGGAATCCAGGCAGGAATACCCATCAATTTCATAGCTGGAGTTTTAAGAACTTGAGCCAGGACTTCCCACTCTTGTCCAGTGCTCTAACCCCTGCACCGCACAGCCTCTCCATGCTAGGAGCCACCGCCCACCTTGTCAAAGTGGCAGGCTTCTAGGAAACAGGATGCAAACTGGGTTAAATAAACGAAAACCAATGATTCGCATTCGGCCGAAAGGACAGCGTGAACCACCGTTTCTGGGGTTTAATCATCAGCTACAGTCATAGCTCACCTTTCCTTCAACCAATTCAAGGCAGCTTCCGCGGCTCTCCTCCTCCTCCACTCTTGGCTTTCACGACAGCCCTATAAGGCGGGTAAAGCTACCATCAGCCCCTCCCCCCACTGGTTGATCCCCTAACACAGACTTCAGATTCCCTAAGCCACCCACTTCGGTTCTTGACTAGGATGGCGAGATTTTCCAACAGGGCTCGAACGAAATATTGTACAATTTATTACAAAATCCAGAATTGCATGGAATGTCAACCTCAATGGGTGTTGTTGTGTTTTTTTGCCCACCCCTGCTTTCAAGCCGCCTGATCAGGCCATGCATTCAAGACCATAAAGACATACATAGACCAGGAGTCATAATTACCCCCACAGTGATATCTGCAGTTCACCCCAAAACTGGTGGGGGGAACAGAATTAATGATTTATCTGGAGCCGCGGATCTCAGACGTCGCTCTCCAGATGTTCTCGGACTACAACTCCCAGAAGCCTTCGCCGCTAACTGGGCTGGCTGAGATTTCGGGGCATCACTGCTCTCAGGGAGGTCCTGAAGGAGGTGGGAGAGGGGAGGTGATGGCGTGGGCACCTTCCCCCTTATCTCCTGATCCTGAACAGTGACAGCCGGCTGCATTCTGCGATCCGAGCGGTGCCATCCCCATCAAGACCCCGCAGGGGTTCGGGCACGATCCGTCTGGCAGAAAACGAGGGTGCAAAGACACATTCGCCGTCGCAAAACATAAGGGGGATTGACACGAGGGCGAAAAAAAAAAGAGCGAGGGCGAGATGTATTCTCTAGAAAAGGGGTGAGACAAGAATCTGAAGCATGTGTGAATTCCCATCAGACAAGCCTGTTTAATTAAAGACGGCTGTTCGTCTAATCTCTTCCCGGAGTCGCTAATCTCCAAAGCGGACAATGGAAAGCGCAGGGGAAAAAAAAGGGAGAGAGAGAGAATTAGCACAACTATGTGTGTGTGTGTGTGTAGCAAGGGTTTTGGGGTGCATGTGTGAACGAAACGGAGCAGAGACAGTGTGTAGATAAGCATCGCAAGAGATGGGTCACTGGGGGGGGCGTGAGAGATGTCCAAGGAGAGAGAAATTCGGGGTGTGCCTGAATGACTGAAGAGGGGGCGAGAAAGTTTGTTTATAGCCTGGTATACCAAAAATCTGTTCGGCGTCGATGAGAACGTGTGGCTGTATGAGCAGAAAACAATGCAATATTCAACCCAGGGTTCGGGAATTCACAACAACATAAACCGCAGCAATGTCTGGTGCCGATTCTGGAGCGTTGCAGACGTATTGGGGTTTGGAGATTTTTCGATAAAAGCAGGAATGACACACACACACATACAGAGAGAAAAATCTAACTCTTGGCTCACTGGTGCAGAAAAGGACGATATTATGTCACTGAAGTCAAATATATTCTTTGTGTGTGTAAGAGAGAGAGAGGATCACAAACCAACAGGCAGCAGAATGCAAGAGACACTATCTTCATCGTACTAACGAACTAGCAATAACCTAATAAAACTAATTATCAGTAGTTTTTGGTCAGGTTCATTATCCAGAAATGAAAGAGTATATTTTCCCCCTTTATAATTGTCAAGAACAATGATTTAAAAAAAAAAAAAGCTCTGGTTACTTCTGTCTTCTCTCCAGGCAGAAATAGTTCCCCAATGAGTTCCGAGCGGGGATTTGAACCCGGGTCTCCGGCGTTCAGCCCACTGCGCCTCATTAACCCCCCGGCCAAAATTACAGCTGCACCATCATAATGGCGCAAATCACAGCCGCAAAACGGCCATCAATTAACAAATTAACACCTGTATTCACAAGAACACGCAGTTAAGAAGTTGACTCTTTAATCAGCAGCCATTTTGCTGCTATGGCTTACGCCACTCATTTTACACTAGTGTAAATTCACTATAGGATTCCGGCCATTATTGTCTGTGTCCTTAATCTATTTACGCCCCACGCTATAGCTACAGATCTCAGGGGAAGGCTGGGGGCTAAAATAATTTAATTATAAAGCAATTGAAAACCATCACCGGTCTTGAGTGGTGGGTCCCCCCACATCAAATTCTGATTCGTGGTGACTGTTATCAGGGTTTTATTTTTAAGGTAGAGAGCACTCAGAAATTGTTAGACCGTTTCCTTCCTCTAGGGGGAGCCCTGGGATGGTGCAGCTTGCCCAAGGCTAACCAGGCTGGCTCTTTTCCACATTGCGGGATTCGAACTCCCAACCTCCCAGCCCCAGTCAGAAATCCAACCCACTGAGCGATCCAGGCCAGCTGATGCAACTTCTAGAGGCATGTCAGGACCCACTAAGGACTGGGACACCTCTTTAATGCCCCCCTCCCACGTCTTGTTTCGGCAAGGCAGACCCCGAGGGAAGATCAGCCCTGGATTTTCCTCGGATGTGCCAGACGTTGTAACCTGTACAGCTCAAGGTGCTTGGCGTTTAGCGTGGAAAGTCCCGTCGTGCTTGAGGGCACCTGTGCTTATTCCACCTGCTGTCTCCTTGAGCTGGGGATCAGCCAGCTGCGGCGAAGAGGAAGCCGGGGGTGTTAAAAAGCTCATTTTCTCGATAAATGACAAGAAAAGGTCCCTGTTCCTCGGATCTCAACGGATTTCTCCCCTAATTCAGTTCCAGCTCTCAAGCTCTGAATCACAGCTGGGTTGATCCTCGCCCATCGCCTTCCTGTCATTTCTACCCACTCCAGATTTGGCAAAGGCATTCAGCCTGGCCAGGATTTGCCTGGTAGACTGCCACTGGGCAGAGAGGCTCCATTCTTAACTACTGTGGCTAACCAGACCATCAGCGGAACGCTCCTGGATCGGGACGACGAGACCTGGCGAAACGAGGTTCTCCTCCCTCCGTGGCCAACCTGGGAAGACCATGCTGCTCACGAGGTGTGGGACATCATCCCACTCAAACCCCCTGGCAACGGGTATCAAAAAGCACATGGGGGAAGTGACTCACCTCAGAGCAGAACCTCGTATTCCCCCAAATAGTTCTAGCAGCTTGTATCACCCGTTTAAAGTTCGGAGTAAAACCCAGCACGGATTTTACGCCTGCACCAAACGGAGTCACCGGCCGCCACCGAGTAAAGCCACCAATAGCCTCAACTTGAATGTATCTCACATGTGGGTGTCTATTTTGGGGTGTGTGTGTGTTTCGAGGTACAAAGTGATCTGTAAAGAGAAGGAGCAAGGAAGCGCCACAGAGAGTAGGATCCGACGCCAGTCTTTGGGGCCAGCTGTGCGGCTTTGCAAATTTAAGGAATTCAAATGGTAAAATACATTCTCTTTCTCTTTCCCCACACCGCCCGCCATCTGAAGGGGCTCAGCACACCCCCTTGTCTGCTAGCCAAGCCTTAGAAGCGACTCAGCCGTCTTGGCAGGCGCCATAGCTCAAAGGGAGAGTTCCTGCCGAGCACCAAGAAGGCCGCGGGTTCGAT